TGTGTTCAGCTGCGTGTGGGCTTGTAGAAGAAGCTATGGAGACCCATTCCTAATAGATAATAGCCAGTATCACTAGACACTGAACTGGGAGGGCAGGGTGAGAAGTCTTGTGCAGTACCCATTTGGCTAGCAGTGGAGGCAGTCTGCGTGTACTGAAGTGTCTAATCATATTCAGGAGGCTGTTCAGGAGGGCCAGTTATGATAGGACAAGGGGTAATGGTTTTAAAATAGAGGGAGGTAGGTTCAGGTTGGATATTAGGAAAAAATTTTTTACTATGAGAGTGGTAGAACACTGGAACAGGTTGCCCAGAGAGGTGGTGGATGCTCCATCCCTGGAGACGTTCAAGGCCAGGTTGGACAAGGCCCTGAGCAACCTGATCTAGTTGGAGATATCCCTGTTCCTTGCAGGGGGGTTGGACTAGATGACCTTTGAAGGTCCCTTCCAGCCCTAACCATTCTATGATTCTATGATTCTATGATTCTGCCGAAACTGTGACCTACCTGCTGTGCCAAAACTCTACTAAATTGCTGGATTCTCTTTCTTTTTCATTCAGGATTCAGCTGGCGGAGAAGTTCGTCAAAGCTGTTTCTAAACCTAGCCGGCCAGATATGAACCCCATCCGGTGAGTGATGCCTCGTATCCTCAGCCTGGCCTGCTTTGGTTTCAGTGTGTTGGAGGATGAAGATAAGGAGCTGAAGGAGAGTTAAATTTCAAGCTGAAATTCACAGTTCTGTTATATTCAATGGAAAAAGGCTAAAAGCCCTTTAAATAGCTAAGATAAAGGTTGATAGTGGAGAAGTTGTGCCCTCCTTTCACATATGAGACAGTCATGGTTTCATCATAGGTGGATTTGCTGGTGCTGATTTCAAATACATGCTATAGTAGGTCTAGCACCCAGTTAGCTTAATCATTACAAAGACTTCTTTGTCCTTGTCTGCCTCGAAGGGTCAGCAGTGGTACAGAGATGCTGACTGTTAGTAGATAAATGAAGTGCTGACCAACATTTACAATCTCCAAATGCTTAGCCTGAGGACAACACTTTAGTTACAATCCCAAGAAGGTTCCTGACAAAGGGCTTCAGCTTTGGTTGCCTCCTGGCCTTCCATTTCATTAATTCTGCTGTGGTGGAGCATAAAAGCATCGTTGTGCTCGGTATCAGACAGGTATTGTGGACAAAACAGGTTTTGTTTCAGAAGCTAGAAGTGCTGTGATATTGTGAGAGAAGCTGGAGGAAAGGAAGGAGGATGTTGTCCTTGGTGGCTTAATGAAATAATGAGTGAGATCTCAATTAAACTCAAGACAAAGAGCTGAACAACTGGAAGATCTCAAAATGTTAGGGAGGGCTGAAGGTGAAGTGAGGAGAGGTGTAGAAATGGGTTGTAGAGGGGTCCTTTGCTGCTCTTGTGAAAAGGAGTTCAAACTGCTCTTTGAAGCCTGATGCTTGTAGCAGTGTGTGAGAAACGGGTGGTTGGGGTGTCAGATCAGAGGGTAGTCCTTTTGAAACTTTCTGATTGTCTTTGTGTCTCAGAACAACAAAAACAAAAGTGGTTTGACATAATGATGAGAATGATGACTCTAAGTAATCTTTACTGATTAAAAAAAAGGCAAGCAGCTGTTTTTACCTCAGGGTAACTAACGAGTTTGTGGTGTCCCTGAGGATAATAACGGTGAAGTTCAGGCAGTTTAGTTTTACTGTGGGGCCAGAACCTGCCAGGGGCTGACCTTGGTGAATTGACCTTATGAGAAAACAAAAGCACACGATTGTCAGAGTTCTTGCTCTTCTGTATACTCAACCTGAGGTAAAAACGCACAGCTTCCTTAGCAGCAAGGATGCTTGTATGCTGCTTACAGCAACCCAGCCATGAGCGTGCAGGTGTCAGGTTTTCTCAAGCCAGGAGAAATAAGGCACTGGAGCAGAAGATTGAGGAGAAGGGTGAACCTCAGTCATACCTGACCACCTCATGCTGTACAAAACAAACTGTTTGGCTGCTCCCTGTAGCTGGGACAGAAAAAGAGGACAGTTAATTTTTTTTTTTTAAATCACATTTTTGTGTTGTTTTTTTTTCCTCTAGTGTGAAGGAAGTGTACAGATTGGAGGAAATGGAGAAGATCTTTGTGAGGTAAGTGACCGGCACAAATGAGAGACTTCAGGGCCCATTGAGGTTATCAGCCACCAATGCACAGGAATGGGAGAGATATGCTGATCTGTGCTTGAGGAGTCCTGGAGAACAAGCTATTGGATCTCATGGAGCTGGTGGCTGCTGTTTCTGAGATGCTGCTGACTCACAGCATCATCCTGCTGAGTTCTAATGCTGTAGATGTAGCCAATGCACTTCACGACAGTAGGAGCGGTAACGGCACTTGAGTTTGTGTGCCCAAGTGTCAGTGGCTTGAAAGATGAAGAGTTCGTACCTGAAATAGGAATCTCATTTGGATTAAGCGTGGTAGATCACCACAGATCCTTCACTGCAATGCTCGATTTGCTACTTGATCTAGACAGCCCTGGCTGGTTTCTCTAGCCATGTGGGGTAGGCAAGAGACTGCATTCTTCGGGATGTGACGATTTTGTCCTGGCATGTGCAGTGCTGTGAGTGGCACTCTGGAGAGGACGTGCAGGTGGCACACTGTGTGCAACAGGATGGTAAAGGAGGAAACAGGGAGTCTTCTACAACTGCCTTCTCTCAACGTTTAGGTTAGAGATGAAAATCATCAAGAGTTCAGGGGGAATACCGCGGCTATCCTACACCGGCCGAGATGACCGGCACTTTGTGCCCACAGGACTCTACATCGTACGGACTGTGAATGGTAGGGAGAGAGAGTCTCTGCTCTTAAATTTAACTTTTATTTGTATCTTCAAGTAAAAAGTATTGACCAGGCTTGTTGCTGTTGGTAAAATATTCATGGGAGTATTCCAATGGCTTGAGATTAACTGTTTGCTTGTAATGAGGGTAGCTTGGATTTGGGTAAGGTTTAGGGTATTTATATGATAGGTTTTTCTGTTGCAGGTTGATTAGCTATTACGTGGGTAATTCCATTTATTTACATGACTGATGATTTTCTTTTTTAATGAGATCATAATTTTTCATCAAGAAGATATTTTCCAGAGTACTAGTACATGGAAATACCCTATTTGGAATGTCAACTTTTAAACGCAGGGAGAAGGGAGTTTTCTCAGTGAATAGAGAACAGCTTGGGAAGCAGGTTATCTTAGGGGAGGAAAGGAAAAAGGAGTAAGAAGGATCATAGTTATTCTTACAGATTTTTCCTCCCTGCTTGCACTACATGTGTATTTATACTATGTTTTTTTTCCCCTTTCCATTTTCTGTCTGATCCCTGTGATTATTCTGCAAGATCCCTGGACAATGGCATACAGCAAAAACTCCAAGAGGAAATTCTTCTTCAACAAAATGACCAAGCAAGCGACATACGACCTCCCTTCTGAATCCATCGCACCCTTTCAGTGAGTACAAGCCAGAGCTGAGGCTACGGAAGCATAGCTGTGTGCGAGTGTGTGTGTGTGTGGCTGTTGGGAAGGGAGTGCAGGCGTGCTGTGCCACCTTCTTTTAGGCGTTTGCAGTGCAAGCACAGCTCAGTCACCAGCAGGGCGTGCTGCAGAAGCTGGCACCTTCTTGGACTTTTAGGAAACCGCCGATCTGGATTTGTGGATTTTGCAATTAATTGCTCTGAGTAACACACATCTCACAACTTTGTTCCCCTCTCTGCAGCAGAGTACAAGTCACTGAACCTGCCTGCACACAGGGAAATGGAAATTGAGCCCAGCAACTGTAATTTGTTGCATCCTGTGTTTTAAGATGCTTGGTTGGAAGTATTTAAAAGCATATCCCAGTTCGTTTAGCCCAGGCTCTGGAATAAGCTGTAGGTAGCTGGGAGCTGTTTAGGGAGAGAGTGAGAGAGAAAAGCAGCAGCTCCTTGGGAAAGGATGGAATGCATTGTCATTGGACAGTCATTAACACTGTTGCTGCTGACCCCCATCTGTATCTATTGAGTACTAGACTAAGGCTGTGTCTGAAGTGCAGCAAATCTGAGTCTGTGAGACGCCTCAGGGCTCATGGGTGGAGATGTTCTGCGCGCTCTGCCCTCAGGTAGTCTCAAGAGATGCCCTCCACCACCACTACCCAGGACTATGCCTCTGAGTGAGAGCTTGATGTGAAATAGGGCTCCTGATTTTCTCACTTTGAATCTCCTTACCTACCTTACAGCAGTGCTCTTAAGAATCCTGAAGCTTTCCTTAACCAGATAAATGGAAGATTGGGCTTAAAACTGTAAAAGCAGGGACACACGATGCTTTTTTTTTCCGCCATGTGTCAGGATGAGGTTAGTTCTGCCTTTGTACTCAGAAGCAGGCCAGCATGAACCTGCATGAATGGTTGAGGAGGTGGAGGAGAGTGCTTGTGTGTCTCCAGAAGGGATGTGTTGTCTTGTGGTTAGTGAGTATTAACGGGTCTGTAATTAGCCATTGACATGTGCTCTTATCACTGTGCTAGTACTGCTTTGTTAGAACAGTAGCAATAAATAAGCTATGAATATTAAGTGTTAGTAATTGTACAAAACTAAAGGCTGCTCTGTCTGCAGTAATTAGCAGCTCTGTTTTCATTACTGCTGGGACTATGTTGATGCAGTGAGGGAAGGCTGTGCTTGATGGATGGAGTGAGAGATGGCGTTGTAGGACCAGAACTCTCAGCAGCCAAGTGGAGCTCGGTTATTTCACAGGAGGGGAAGGAGGGGATGATCCGAGCCACTTTTGTACAGCGTGAAGTGCTGGTCATTTGCAAAGCTCCATAGGACAGCTATTACTGATTGTAGTAGGTTTGTGGTGAGTGATTAGATTGCTGCTTGCTACTGCTGACAGACTTTCTAAATTCTTCATTAAGGCCTTTCCATTTCCTGCAATGACAGTTTCATCCTCTCAAAAACTTGGGGAGAGGTAGGTTTTCCCTAATGACCTGTCTCCTTCCAGCAAATACTGAACTGAATCTTGAGTGAAGATAGAATTAACAAGTTTGTTTCCATGGAAATATCTTAGGCTTGGAAGTTGCTGTACCTTAAGGGCTGTAGAGTTTGTAAGGTCAATGAATGCACTGGTCTTTTTCTAAGGCACCCCTCAGAATATCTCTGTGTGGCTCCCATTGCAAGGGCAGTCTCTACAGTGCGCTTCGTGGCCGGGATGGCAGTGTTTTCCTTCCCCTCCCCTGCCAAACTAATCTTGCTCTCCTCTCTGCCCACAGCGTCTGCCATTACAGCCGCCTCTTCTGGGAGTGGGGGGAAGGTGTCAAAGTGCACGACTCTCAGAAAAGACAAGATCCAGAGAAGCTATCAAAAGAGGATGTCCTGTCTTTCATCCAAGCACACTACCCCTAACCTTGGTCTCTTGAGGGGTACAGGAGGGGCCGAGCCCAGCTTGGATTCTTCAGGAGCTGATGAGACTGGGGAGGCTCCACGACTTCTATCCTGGTCTTCTCCAGAGCTGATTTCCTGGAGGACATCGAACCGGGGGTGGGGGGTGTATGCAGAAGGCACAGGACAAGGCTCTACCCTGGCAGTGTATATGACAGTACAGCCCAGGTAGCGCCTGCTGCTGGAGTAGTCATGGTGACTCCTGGAGCCAAGGCCTGATGCCCTTTTGTCCTAACCTACTGCATGCATGACACCAAGGGGCTGGCAGCTTTCGTTGCTCCTGTTCAAACATTCAGCGAGGTTTGTGGAGCTCTGTGTGCCAGAACTCTCCAGGATTGCTTCCCTGGCAGTGTGGGAAGGAGCAGAGATGTCTTGGTGGCAGAGCTGGGCAACAGCACATTGAAGCAGCCCTGCATCGTTCCTGGCAGCTGTCTGTCTCCTCGGCCTCATCAAAGGCCTACACTACCCAGTGGAGGGTATTAACTCATAGGGGAATGCTAGCTTTGGGATGCAAGTATGTGTTCTTGTTGGGCTCTCCAGCACTTCTGCTTATCAAGGCACTTGGCTGGCCACTGGCAGTTCCTACATGATGGTATCCTGTTGGACAAAGGCCAGCACAGATGATGCGTAGAGTTCCTGGCACAGATTTGATGTGCTCAGTGCCAGGGATTTCTCAGACCTCTAGAAGCTGCTGAGACAAGGATTTCCCCTCTCCAGGTCAGCGACTGATCCTGAGCCAGCAGCCTGGGGTTAATTTGTAAATGTGTCTATGCGGCATGGTACTTCTGAGACCAAGGTGCTTTCATTCTTGGTACTCAACACCATTACCCAAACCTTCAGGGAGTAAAGCGGACATGGGAGGGAAGACACAGGAAGGTTGGGATTCTGGAGGTCTTTGGAGGAAATCATGGGAATGTCTGACTTGGTTAAAAAAAACCCAGGGCTTCAGTGAAAAGAGATCTTGACTTTGACCATGTTGGTTAGTCAGAAGAAATCCTGTCCCCTGACTCTGCCCACTGGAAAGGTTACCAGACTTTCCTTTTTAAATGTCAGAGTGGGCTTTGAAACTCTCCATGTCTCATTTGGCCCCAGAGCTGCATCTGGGGTGAAGGCACAGAGCTGTCAATCTCTCAGCATGGTATTTGTGTGTCAACAGACTTCTCCATGCACTTCTGCGCTGGGCTCAAAGTTGTTTTCTGTTGTGTGTTTTACCTTCACTTCTGGCTTCCATGGCGCTTTTGCCAGGTCTTCCATGTAAATCAGAAGACAACACACAGTTGACAGTTGACTGCTTTTGGCCAAGCAGCAAAATCGCCCTTTTTTTTTTTTTTTTTTTTTTTTTTTTTTTTTTTTTTTTTTTGTGCTTGTTTTTAAACACAGATTGGCAGTAGGGAGGAAACTTATTTAGGGGGCGTCTGAACTGTGCCTTAAAGAAAGCTATAGTTCTCCTAGAATCTATAGCAGTTGTTTAGATTCTTCTTTCTTTCTGTCCACACCCATATGTACGATTTGAACAAGCTTTATGTAGCAAGACATGGAAATTTTCACTTGTAGGTGTATAGGTGCATGGGTGCCCTGCACCCTGCTTGAAGACGCCACAACAAGGATGCCATGTTGTAGAAGTCCCACCTCCACCCTCTAAAGCCCAGCGTCATGCGTACGTTTTGTGCTCGTTGTCAGCACGCAGTCGAATGTCATCCTACAAGTAGGCTGTGCCCTCTGAGCTTGGAGCACTTCCATGTCTTCACAAGCAAATTGTCTCTGTATACCCATGTATTAATTCTCGACAATTTGGTACAAATGGACTTAGCAGCTGCAACTCCTTGCACCAGAGGAAATTATATGCAGGCTTGATCACTGCAGAAACACACCCCTGGCTAAAGGAGCAGCACAGAAGTTGGCATGGTCAGTCAGTCAATGGAAACTGGAGGAGGCAAAGCTTGGGAGCAGATGAGAGGTTAGCTTACAAATAGGTAGCCCTGAATATTGTGCAGGGGAGCTATTCTGTTTTTTTTTTGACTCTGGCCAAAAGCAAAGGGGGTCAAAGCTGCTTTTTCCACATGGAAGATTGTTAGTCCCCAGAGACAGTGAGGTCTACCAAAGCAGCTGAAGGACTGCATGCTGTTAATGCATCCTCTTGCTGACCTGTAGACCCCCTCTGGTCTCAACGCATTGGTAAAACATGTATGAAAGAAATGGTGGCCTTTTCCCTGCAAAGAACAGGAGGCCTGTCACTGGCAGTTTTGTTTTGGCAAAGGCACTTCCATGAGGGATGAAGAGGAATCTCTCCTGGTGGGCAATAAAGAACCTCTCAACTCTGTGGTTTCCAGGCCTATGTGCAGTTGGCTTTTTAAACCAACGAGTAAGTTGAGTTCTGGTGCTTCTTCGGACTGCCTTGAGGCTGTCCCAATGCCAGCAAAGTATGCTGCTCCCTTTGCCAGACTCCTTTCTAAGTGTTATGTCCTCTGCTCAGGGCTTTGGTCTCCCATGGGCTGGCAGTCAGAAAGGTGACTAGGAAGTACACCAGGGTGAGTGTAGGCCTCTGAGGGTGCAGAAAAACCTGGTTAGCCTGCAGGCTAGCTTTTATGAACAGATACATTCTGTTTACTCAGTTGCCTCCAGCTCCTCCTGATTTTAATTTGCTTTTATTTTTAATTTTATTTTTGATGCACTGAACCTTGATACTGAATCCCCCTTCAAGAAGGCAAGCATGAGCCACCATGCTACTTGCTTCCTTGCTGCAGGGTAAATATGGAGAGATGAGGTAGGGAAGGGGGGTGAGGAAGGTCTTGCTGAAGGGAATGTTTATGAACATTAATTGCACAACGTGTTGTTGTTAGGCTGTGTATCATTTTGTGTTGACTTCTCTGCTTTCATTGTCTCTCTTAACCAATACAGCCCCTTTAGTTCACAACAGTGTTTGTTCACTTTGCTTCCCACAAAATTCTGGCCAGTGTTGTGTATTAGCGTGGAGACGGAGAAATGCCTTGCACAGTGAAATGTTCAAGGCAGTCCCCTTTTCAAGGCCTGCGTGGCAAGCTGGAGCACACCGAGAGCTACCTCGTGTACGTCATGGCATCAGAATGAGAGGGGACTACAGGGGACAGTCTCTAGCACTCCTCTGCAGCATGCTAGGCTGCTTTTCCACTCAAAGGAAGCAAACACTCAAGTAGATTCCAGGCCACAACAGACAAATAACCCACTGGGTGTTGAGTGCCTAACCCAGTCTAGGCTTACTATGGTGCAATGTGTGCCAGCAGGGAGATGGCAGGATAAGAATAAAGCAGTGGTTGAGAGGCATGTTACAAAACAGGGAGAAAGAAAAAAAACAAACCAGGAAGTTACAAGGTCAAATTTTTTTATTTAAAGCCCTGTAGAGACACTTCCCTCCCTGGGAGTTGATAGTAGATTTTCTGCAAGCATTGATTCCGAGAGGCACAAAATGGCTACCAAGCTCTGATGCACTGGGGAGGTAGGTAGTTCTTCTCAAAGCCCAAGCACCCAGAACTCAAATTGTATGCTACCTGCTTGCAGAAAAAGAGATACCTACCTCCTACCTGTTTTTATGGAGGTAGGATTCCTTTGGTCCTGTCAGTCAGTGTGGAGGAGGAAACACCTTTGTTTAGCTCAGCTTTGGGAACACATGGAGTCTTTAGGTCACAATACCCAAGTTATCCTTTGAATCAAAGATCTTGGTGTCCCTTCAGCTTACGGCTGAGTCACAGGAAGGAAGAAGGTGGCAGGCATGTATTCCAACAGCTGGGCAGAGAGCACTTGTCTGCAACCACAGAAGTCCTCTTCAAAAGGCAGAATGTATTGCCTTCCTGTATCAGGCTAGATGGTCTTGACTGCCTTTTGGGTAAGACAGCACCACCTTGAGCTTTGCTTGACCCGATTTCCAACCGCAAATGTGCTGTGATTTTTGGTTTTGTCTCCTGTCCCCCTCAATTCTCAGAGAAAAAGCTTCCCTACAAGGAGGCTTGGGGAGGATAAACAAGAACAGCAATTTGAAATGCTGATCCTCACCTTTGGGGGAGGGCACAGTGGTGAGAGGAGGAAGAAGCTCCTTGCAGGAGAGTCATTTGGTCAGCAGGGAGAATTCTTGAGTGCAATCACATCGTCCAGCAGGTGTAAATAAGAGCAATCAGCAACCCCATGGCCACAGCAAGGGCAGCATTCTTGCCATTTTCCTTACGAAGCACACTCAGTTCTTTCTCTGGGAAACAAACAAAAGCCTTGCCTGTGAATGTTCCTCATGCTGCAGCTACAGCTACTTTCAAAAATTGTCTTAAAAGCACAATGCTACCTTGGCCATGGGCAACTCTTTTGGGATCAGTATGCAAAGCTGCTAATTGTAAGATGTGCTCAACAGGAAGTAAACTAGCAGGAACCCTTTCATTTGTTCTCATCCTGTCAATCTCAGTAGCTGTGCTTGGGAATACTTCAGTGCCAGAACAGTTCCTGTTTGCGAATCACCATGTTCTAGGACCCTACTAAGGACAGAATGGGTCATTAGAGTAATTGCTTGTTCCCTAAGACAATGAAGGTGACAGAGGGTAGAGAACTCTCTTTACTATCTTCTGGATGTAACAGTCTGGTACTTTTTCCTACTGCTTAAATTTACTTAAATACAACTGCGGCCACCTTTGAATGTTGCAGAATCTGGGTTTCCTTGTGCCCCACAAGGACGAGTACGGAACAGGTCTGAGCTTGGACTCTTATTCTGTTGGGGTCTCCAGCTTTCTAGAGATAGGTCACTTTCCCTGGCCCTGGTTTACAAAAGAAGAAACACAGATGCAGAGAGGAAATAAGTGGCTACTAAAAGTATAGAGTGCTACTGGTCTCCATTTCTGCTCTGTTCCCTTTACCAAAGATGAGAACCCCATTCTCGCTAGTTCTGTTCTACAAGACTTTGCTGGATGGTACAGGCAAGAAATGAGGCTTACAGCATTACACACTGCATGGCCAAACAGCAATAACTGTTTTGCAGGACAAGGTTGGGTGCAGACTGTTCCCAGACCCAGACTCCTCTTGCTGCTGAATTCAGCTGCAGGGACCGCACAGGTTACTGCCTCTACAGTTTGCACTAGCAGTCTCCAGTGGGAATGCCCTGGTGCTGGTATCAAAAGAGCCTTTTAGCTGTTCTTTCTGCTCCCTTTCTTCACGTGGTACAAGCATTCTCATTGAAGCACAGAGCAAACTGCTTGAATCTGCAAGGCTACAGAGGAGGTGGTAGGGCCAGGAGGGGACATAACTCCAAAAGCTTAAACTGATGGAGCAATACCGTTGTCAGCAACTGCAGTTCATGGCCTCAAGTACCTCAGCTGGAATAAGCGGAGACTTAATCGGAGGCCATAGCAGTGATCTACAAAAGACTGTGTGCACATGCACTGCCTATTGTTCCAGGAGGAGCAGCCATCACCATTAGGTGAGGCTGTTGCTGCTGTCTGAGCAGCCTGTCAGATTGCTCTGTTGATGCTGGCAGTGATGGCTGACTGCTGGCAAAAAGGTGGCAGCGATGCGCGGAGTCTTCTGCCGTTCCCAGTGGTAGGCCCTTAGGGAACAGCTTTGAATCTGCTTAAAATAACTGTTAGTCTTCTGGAAACAGTCCTTTAACATGAGTTAAAACTACAAATTTGCTGGCCATGCCCCAGCTTTCAACTCAGCAGGCCTAAAAGAACACTTGTGCTTCTTTCCCTTGTGTCAGCTTTGGTGCTTGCCCTGCTGCAGAGCGCTGTCAAGCAGCTGATGCACTGATCAATGCCAGGAGCCTGAAGACATGGAAAGCAGCATCGCTAGTGCAATGGAAGTGATGTCAAACGTGCGGTAGCTCAGAGGGATTCTCATTTTAACTGTCTACAGCAGGACTTGCAGCAAGGAAAGACCCTGGCTCTCTGGAATTGCAGGTAGCACATCAGTGTGAATCCCTGTGCTTGTGTGCTGAACAGCCCCAGAAACTGATGCAGTGAGAACCTTCCCCAAGGAAGGTACACTTCGCTACACTCCAGACAGCACTTGCCAGCTTGCTTAGCAAGCCTCTATTGAAAAAGAAAAGAAAGACAAAAAAAAAAAAAAGGGGGGGATGTTAAAAGCCACTCAAGTTAATCTGTTGGCTAAGATTATCTAAAGACTGGTAATTTGGGGTATGTGAAAGGGACATCTTTCCTCCCTCATTAGCTGATGCCTTATTTTTTTCTCTATGACAGCGCAGCTTATAGCGGGAGGATCCAGACTCCTATTATAATATGCTGACTAGATTCCCTCAGTCTAGCTCCCTTTGGTTGAACCTAAATTCAAAGGCAGAAGTCAGAGGTGGCAGGAGCTTGAAGACAAAGCTAAGCTGCAGCACCGATCCCATGCAGCCCAGAGGGACCATTTTTAATGAAGCTCTTACCGTAGTTGTCAGCTTTGGTCATTAGTAAGTTTCTCTCTCTCTCCAGTGACTTTCTGTAATGAGAAGAGGAGTTCATTACCTGCGAGGCACAACACAGCCTATTTCTTTGCTTATATGAAGAGTGGGAAGAGAGGCTGTCCCACTGCCAACGATATCTGCTCTCAGAATGAGCCCCTCACCCTTCACTGTGGAGAGGTAACAGTTTAGAAACCCCCAGCTGTGCAAGAGCCGAGATACAGCAGTTTTGGATTATTTTTTTCCTTCCCCCAAACTGCTTCATCTCTCTCCTTTCAGGACAGCATCAGTCCGCACAAGCAGGCTAGAAAGGGGGGTGTGTGTCAGAGAGCCCCCTACTCTCTTCCCTCAGGTGGAGGAGGAAGTTCTGCCATAGCTATGGGATAGGGCAGGGTCCCTACATACTCTCTGCAGGATCCTGCCCCTCCAGCTCATCTGGCTCAGTGCTGGAATGCTAATTCTTCTCACTGATTGAAGCTGAGATCCCTTTGTCAGAGGTATCCAATTTACACAAATTGATCAACTCAAGGAAACAACCTGAATCCAAGCCCAGTAACAGCCAGTTAAACAACCTGTTATTAGACTGAAGGCTCAGGATAACAACAATAAAAAGTCAGGTCAACCCAGCCCTTGTCTTAAACTGCACAAGATGATTAATTAATATACAGTTTAAAATATAAACACAAAACAAATTCCCTGAAAGCAGCAGCGTTTCCATTACAGCAGTGAGGACACAGTCACTCCTTTCAGACTGTGTGCATGTAAATAAACACACACTAACAAATTATCTCCTGGTTCAGAGCAGATGGAGAAGGCAGTACGTGTAACAGAGTTTGTTGTTCCCCTTGGGGCAGAGCAAGAACCTGCAGGAGGAAAGAGATCCAAATCTTTGTGTACAGCTAGTTAAGTAAGGGATGGCAAGAAAGCAAGCTATGTCAGAGCAGCAGGAAAGGAAAGGGCTCTTAAAGGCAACGGGGGAGCACAGCCAGGAGGAAGTGAGAAGACAGATTCACCAACATGACTGAGCTGCTACTTAGAAACTTGCCTTGTGAAGAGAGTCAAGGGAAGAGGCTTTGAGAATGAGACATGAAGAAACCATGACAACTGAACTTCAAAATGGGAAAGCAGAGCTCTCCTTTGTGTACTAGTCACTGAATCAATACTTTTGATCATGGTACCTTCCTCCAGGGTTTTTCAAATGGTCTGGATTAGGGCAACAGAATTTCTGTTTCCACCTCCATACAAGTTGTAAAATTCAGAAAAGACCCCAGGAATCCCTATTCCTAATTCTTTGCTCCAGGCCCTATATTTCAGAGAGAAATCGTACAGATATATTCCATTCTGTCAAGTTACCACAACTGTAGGTTTGGTTGTCAGCCACCTGAGTACCAGATAAAGAATACAGACAGTAAACATAAAAAAAGTTTAGGCCTAGATAAAGACTATTGAGATGAGGAGCTAGAGAGATGAGGGACAGGAGGAGACGGGATCCTGTGCAAGTATGGATGGGGATATAACACCCAGTAAGGAGAGGTGGGGAGATGGAGAGCACAGACAGGGAGTGAGAGCAGAAAAGAGGAACAAAGAAGATAAGGACAGTACCAGGACTACTGGGACCGCTCCCTGGGTCTACGATTGAGCTTCCCAACCTTTTTTGCTAGGAGCAGAACAGTAGGATGCTGGTAACTGGAAGAATGTCCTCAAGCAGAAAGATCTGAGAATCAGCTGGGAGATCTAGATCTCTTGCTTCACACTCTAGAGAAACAACAGGTTCTCCCTCCATCTCCTACAAAATCCAGGTCAAAGTCCTTGCTTGAGTCCCAGCTCTAGAAGCCTACAGTTGCCTCTTCTATGTCAGCAACAGATTTCAGGGGAACTGTCCCTCTTCCCTTTCCCAAGGAAAGCCAGTGTTTCACTACATCCCTACATCATTCCCATCTTTTCAAGAGCTCTTGCTCAGTACTACAGCAGGACAACAGCTAGCTGAAGTGCATAGCCACAGCTGTGAAAAGAGGTGGTCATCAATACCTTCCTTCAGGGCTGAGCTTCTCCCTGCACAGTTTAAGATCCATCTCCTCCATGCTCTGTCTGCAACGTGCCAGCTTCTCCTCCAGTTCATCAATCTGAAAAACACCACACCAGTCATCGTCATGTCCTCTCCCAGCTAACATGGATCCATCCTCACTCAGATGGGAAGGGTGGCAGCTCAGCCACTCCACCTCCTTCCTCCCCAAATCAAGGGAGGAACAGCCTCAGCTCTGTGTAGAGATCACAGCACAGAGAGCCCATGGCCTCCTAGATCAGCTTCTATTATACCTCAAGCAACTGTGACATTTTAATCCCAGACACAGCCAAGCCAGCTCTAACACTCCCGCTTGTATGGCTGGCCAGCACCTTTTTGCTCAGATCTGATCCCGTTCCAGCCTGTTCTAGTTTCTTTGCACGTGGCTCCAGAAGCAAAGATATGATCTAAGGCATCTTTATACAATTAAAAGAAGATAAAATAAGAGACTGGCCTTCGCCAAAGCCTGAGGGACAAGGTCTTGGTTTAGTGCTGTGAATGGATGAAGAAGTTCATGGGATCTGACTACAAAGCACCCTCAGCTGTCTGGTTGGGTGAAGAGGGGACAAAGGGGAGACACTGATACCTACTGTCTCTTTTACCTAACTAAATCTACAAGAGCAACAGCAGTCTGCACATTATGCTCAAGAGAGCATTCACCACCAACTCCATACCTTTGATCTGCACCACGTTCTGGCAGCAATGTGTTGCTATGCAGAAAAACACTTGTCATCTCCTTGTAAGGTTTCCTAACAGCCACCTTCCTCCCGTGTCTTCCTGTAGAGGGGAGTAACTATGGGTAAAGTACAAGAGGGTTGATCTACTTGTGTGTAAATGGGTTGCCCAGGAGGAAATCATAGAATGGTTTGGGTTGGAAGGGGACCTTAAAGATCATCTAGTTCCAACCTCCCTGCCATGGGCAGGGACACCTTCTACTAGGTCAGGTTGCTCAAAGCCTCATCCAACCTGGCCTTGAACACTTTCAGGGATGGAACATCCACAACTTCTCTGGGCAACCTGTTCCAGGGCCTCACCACCCTCATTGTAAAAAATTTCTTTATATCCAATGTAAATTTCCCCTCTTTCAGTTTAAAGCCATTGCCCCTTGCCCTATCACTACATACCCTTGTAAAAAGTCCCTCTCCAGCTTTCCTGTAGGCCCCCTTTAAGTAATGGAAGGCTGCGATGAGATCACCACGGAGCCTTCTCTTCTCCAGGCTGAAGAACCCAGCTCTCTCAGCCTGTCTTCATAGGAGAGGTGCTCCAGCCCTCAGATCATCTTTTTGTCGAATCATACCATGGACAACCGTTCTCTTGGGAATCATTCTTCTTTTCTGCCTGGCAACCAGAGCGTAGATATCTTTAGAAAAACTTCATCTTTCAGGCTTGCTTCCAGCAGGGAAACAGTAGGACTAATCTGATAATATGGATACATCGTAGCCTGAAAGTAAATGGCCTTGGTGCCCTGAGGTGGCAATGATCTCTCTTTTTAGCTACTTAGTGCAACACTCCTAGCAAGGTCAAGGCCAGCTAGACGGCTGGCATCAAGGCCTCTCTGTGGTGGGAGCCTTCACAAACCAGAAGCTAAGAGGCAGTACAGTCCCAGGTAAAGCACTGAGGTGGAATGAGACACCAGCTGCCTGGACATCAGCCTCAGAGGTGGCCCAGAGCACAAACACTCCTGAACAGTGACATGGGAAACAAAATCAAAGGTAGTGATCCCTAATTATTGCTGCTTTGGAGATCAGCTCCATCCTGGGCTCATTAGCAATCTCACACCTTCTGCTCAGGAAAGGCAGGCAAGTGTTATAAATAAGCAGGATGGGAGAAGAGGCTTGACATAAAGGGGAAAACAAAGCAGACTGCAAAAAGCAGTTTCATGAGTCAGCTCAATAGTCTCACTGCAAGGAGCACAGCAGAGCTGGGGACAGGGCCACAAGGGTCAAATAAAGGCTCAAATAAATCTTTGCATCTTATCAGATAGAAATTTCAAAGTCCTTCATTATTAGGCAACTCTGCCAGGGCTGTTGAGATGCCAGACTCCCCAGAGGCACCTGCACAGCTTCCCCTGAGCCCAAGGGAAGCATCAAGGCACACCATCTGATCCCAGCACACAGGGAACGGCACTTCTGTGTTTGACAATGCTTGGGTTTGCCTGGATGGGGACACAGATATTTTTAAACCATGTTAGCTGAAAATGCATTTGGTCAGGGCAAAGATAATTGTCCTCCTCCATATCCAGCTGTGCTAGTTAAGAATGTTAACTCCAGCTGCTCATCACTATATGTCATTCACTACATCTCAGTCAACAAGACAGATTGCCCCAGTATGCTTCAGGGTGAACCAAGGGTTTCAACCAATACAGCTCTGACCACGCTTACCAGCAGAGTTAATCTAATGGCAGGGTGCAGTAGAGCAGAGGTGGGGTGTCTGTCCAGTCCAATTTAAGAATTACCATCTCCCTCACCAGTTCCTACCACTTGCAAATGCCTATCTCTGCTCCCTTATCTGTTGGAAACCCTCATACACACACACAGCAAGAGGTACTTCAGCATGTGTTACCTGGCTCCTCCTTAGCCAGTAAACTTATTACAACGCACCATGCCTTCTCTGGAAACATGTTTAAAAATCATGTTAAATACTACAATTTAATGAGAGCTTTTGTTAGCTGCCAGCCTCACCACTAAATTATCCATGTCATTGCACTTCCTACCCTCTTCTCCAGCACTGCTCCTCCTGCTCAGATTGCAGTTGCTCTCACTAGTACATTCTCTGCCCATACTTCCGTCATTTCATGAGACATAACAAGAGGATATCCTGCCCAACTCTGCCAATGCTTTTACTTTCTGCTGACTAAAAATCTCCAGATTCCACATAATACTTTAAAAGTTTCATCTGGTTTTACTGCTCTTAAATCAAAACCAAAAGTTTCGGTCCCCTGCTGGAGAGCAATAATTTGCTAATAAACCACATGCCCTAGAACTGCACCATCAGCTTTGCTGAGCTGAGTGCACAAGGGACAGAAATAATAAAAAAAAAAAAAGCAAGGAAGGAGGAACAGATTGCTGAATGAACAAAATACTTTTCCTCTGGAATCTCACTATTTCTTTTCTTCAGGCTAGTCTGGGGCACTAGGGGTTGTAAGGAAGCACAAGAGTGAGGATTCCCAGATGTTATCCATGCACTGTGCCTCAGTTTCCCTAGTTATAAGCTAGGACAATACTATCTGCCACCTGGAGGTGGCTCATTTACACAAGGAGCCTTGTGTAACAGCTCCAAACTGTGGGCAGAGCACTGTTCTTGCAAGCTGAGTCTCTCAGCAGCTCAGCCATCCAAGCTCAGCCTTCACTGTAAGGCAAAGGAAAGAGAAATAGAAAAGAAGCCCAAGGAGAAATCAGAGAAATGCCTGGGAATTACTGATTACTTTCTGGGCTGCTGAGGAAACTCCCAGGGGGGCCATGGCACAAGAAAACTTGTAGAGCTTTGGCATGATTCCCTGCAGCAGCTCTCCAGGAGAGCAATCGCAGAAGCTGGTGCACACCTGAGCTTGCTGTGGATGGAAAGCTTTCCCTCCTACTAACACACACATGAGAAGGTTAGCTGGGGTATGCACCTAGGCTTACTGGAAACCTGCATGAAAACAAGGGGCCAAGCTCGCTTAGCTGAACCATCACTGCACTTCACACTGGCTTATCTTTTTAGTGACAATCTCAGCATAGTGGCATGTAAGTTGCAAAGATGAACCCTTGCTCCTTCTGGTTTTCCTTTCCATGAAGAGGATCCTCTGGGACAGAGCTGAAGTGCAGCATGCAGAAAGCTCACATGACGACTCCTCAAGTTCACATGGCCCGTAGCAGGGACAGAGGACTTCGCTTGCAGAAACATCTTTAAGTAGTGTCGGTTAAAAGGGGCAAGTGAAACAGGTGCTTCACATCCAGGCAGTAGCTCAGGGCACACAGAGCTGCCTTTCTGTTCCTCAAGTGCTGCTCCAGAAAGTCAAGTCCCTGCAGCTTTGGTCACACACGGGGATCTAAGACCACATGCCTCCCTTGGTCCACAAGGTGTGACAAGGCATTGAGCCATTTTTGTTGAATTCTGGCAACGTTTGCTCGCAATCTGGAGACCTTTCTAAACCAGAGAGACCTGGAGCAGATTACAATCCACACTGACTTACATGCTTATTACAAATCTCATTTGTTGGGACCATCTTGGGCAGGGAGCCCAAAATGGCTCACATAAAGGTAGAGACAAAGAGAGGAAAAAAAAAAAAAGGCAGCTTTGCTTACAGAGTTGAGCTGGATCCCTTTTAATACATTTTGTAATGAATTAATAAAAGCTCTCTTTCCACCAGAAAGGCTAAAAGCGCTTTTCAAGAACTGGCATCCACCCTCCGCTTTTATGAATTTCCTAATTACGATACTGGCAAAGAGCCATATCACACATACGTCGACATCCAACAGCGTTAGGTAATGAGGTTTTCGTCTTCTGACCCTCATAAAACAGATCAAAGCCAACTGAAGAGGTGGGGGCAAAGAAAAAAAAGCGCCTTTCCTGAGCAGTCTTCTCATGCCTTGTCACCTGCCAGCACACTTGAGCCATTCTTTCACAGAAGAATTAGTGGTTCCTGCATCCACAAATTTGGCTATATTATTAAAATCAGTCCAGCAGAGACAAGTTTCTTTTAAATTCAAATGCTAACTTGCAGTTCATGGACACACTTCCATTTTCACCACGCTCTTGGAATCATTTTTCATGCTGGCAAATCATTTTGCAGACGCTGTGCCCACGGCGTGCTTGGAAATATTTACCAGGCAAGCTACTACACAATAGAGGATGATCCACTAGCAAAGTCTAAGATAAATCCTGCAGATCAACCCCCTGTGTTGGTAAAGAAGAGCAGATCCTACCTGCATCTCTCTGCTGGGTTTATGTGGTGGGGTTTTGGTAGCTGAGGAGGGGCTACAGAGGTGGTCCCTGTAAGGAGCTGGTAGAAGCTTCCCCAGCTCCAAGCCAGACCTGCCTCTGACCAAGACCAACCCAATCAGCGCCCTGTGAATAAATATATTTAAGAAGGAGACAAAGAAACCTGCGCCATGCGGGACCTGCAGTGAAGAGAGAGAGGGGAGAAGAGGCAGGGTGGGCTGGGACCCAGCCTACCTGGGCCACCACCACTTGACTGGTGGTGGCCACAGCTGCACGGCTTGGAGGGCTCCAAAGCACCCTGCTCCTGGGGTGCCTGCTGGGCAGAGTTCATCCTGCTGGGACTGCAAAGGTTCATTGGGCTGGTCAGGCCTGGCATGGCTGCAGCACAGAGAGGACTCAGATCTGAAAGAAACAACTATGCAGGAGTAAGTGAGCAGCTGCCTGCAGCTAAACCATGACAATCTCCTGCTTCAGCCTTTCAGAGACTATCCGGTTAGTCAGCCCACCATGCCGCAGGTCAGCCCAGCAGCTTCGCAGGACAGCACACAGACATGACCACACAGCACCACCCACGACTTTTTGAAAAAGCCTGTAAGAACAGCTTTATTGAGTAAAGACTATGTTGGCCTTTTCCCTATTCTTTGTGCTCTTGCACAGACTCTGATCAGCCACTGCCTTGTCAGAAGCAGCAATACATACAATACCACTTTCTCTGCAACATACACTCAACATTTTGCAGCTCAGGCACTGCCTGAACACAGTGTGTTCTCTTTGCATTTAATAGCCCTGCCTTTTTGCTTCCATGACTTTTTTCAGTGTCTGAGCCATAAGTATATTTTTAAGGGCTACAACGTCCTCTGGCAAGGAGTTTCACAGCACAGCCACAGGTTGTGGGAAGAACCAACCCCTCCTGTTCATTCTAAGCTTGTCAGCTGTTAGTTTCATTTGATAGCCTTAATTTTGTATTGACAGTGAATGTTCATTCTTTGTTTAAAGCTACAAATAGCATGCAGAGGATATAGACCCACATTGGGTCCCCTTGCAGTCATGTTTTCAAGCTTATAAGGACATAGTATGCTTAGTTGTTTCTTCTACCAAAGTTTTCCACACTTTTGATCATCCTTGTCACTCTCTGAAGCTCATTTGATTTTCACGATTTTGCTACGAAATGGACCAGTCTTCACAGATTCATTTTCCTGACAAGTCTCCCCAAAAAAGTTCTGTGCTGCTCAGCATTGTCAAGAGGGCTGCCTGTCGAAAGACTACACAGCTATATGAAAGAAGTGGCATGAGTTTAAACCACCACAACATTAAGGAAACACATTTATATCAGTTTAAACCAGGTCATATCAATTACACCTGCAATTTGTAAGTGCAAGCTAATCTGGTAAGTGTCCATATAGAAAAATGGCATTCATTTAGCATCATGACTTCAGTTAAACAACCATGACTCTGCCTAGATTAGGCCTTTCAGAGCTATCCATGCATCATGTCATATTAAGACTAATTTGGAAAGTTTTCTTTTGTTGTCGTTTAGGCCGCTCTGGCAACTAAACTCCAAACAGCCGCTTGCTCACCCTCCCCCACCCCCCAGGGATGAGGAAGGGAATTAAAGGAGTAAAGGAAAAGAGACCTGTGGGTTGAGATAGGAACAAATTAATACTACTACTACTACTAATATATGAATACATACAGATATGTACAATGATAAATATATACAAACCAGTGATGTACAGTGTAATTGCCCACCACCCCTTGACCGAGGCCCATCTCATCCCAAATTAATGATCCTGAAACAGCTAAATCCCGATACTGCAATCCCAGATGAGTGAGAGGCCCAAAAACAGACAGCGAGACACAGGAGCACTCTGAGAGCCCGAAAGTGAGAGTCCTGAAGAGCAAAGGCCCTTCCTTCCAGCTGACCCTCACTTTTATACTGGGCATGACGCTGCATGATATAGAATACTAATTGGCCAGTTTGGCCCTCAATCCTAAGTCTAAGTACAAATCATAAGGAGAGTCATGGACCCTCTGTCCCAGCTATGCTCCCCCTTATCCGGCTGTGCTCCTGCTCACCAGCAAGAACATGGCAGCTGAAGAGTCCTTGAGACCTCAGTTCCAACTATAAACATCAGTGCGCTATCAACATTCTTCTCAGGGCAAGTCTCAGACTAAAATCAAAACATGGAGCTCTTCTGGCTGTTAAAAAGAAGACCTAACTGTTCCAGCTGAAACCAGGATATCTTTACAGTCATAACATCTCAGAAGGTAATACTGAACCAAATAAAAATTTAAATTATGAAATCACTATCTTGGTTGTTACACATTCTGACACCTGAAACACAGCCCTCTCTTCCTCTGGCTTGAAGAGATTTTGTTTTCTTCCTCCCTAATTTCTATTCAATACCTTTCTCATCACTGCAAGGGGAAGCATTTTATCTTTTAGTAGTATCTTTGCACTGAGAGGTTAAGTTTTCATCTATAATACGCCAACGAAGAGTAGTTTTACAATCCTTTCAAAAGTAGAGCGTTCTGTCATGACAACTTCGGAGAAAAAAAAAAAAAATCTAAAGCTACCACAAGTCCCCAAACACTTTGCAAGAATTTTCTGTGGCAACTAAAATCAGTTCCCTTTCATTCTGTGACCAGCAGGTCCCTGACAGGCTCTCCCTTTTTACCACCTCTCTTTTTGTAAGGTAGACCCTACCGTTTCAACTCTCCTATTTGTCACATTTCAAACAACAACCACCAAAAATTCCTTATTTCAACTCTCCCCACTAGGCTCCCTGAAGAGAAGCTTGGACAGTCAGCACACGCCCCTCCGGATTCCTTTTGGTGGATATATTTGGGTTAGGGTGCCCAGAAATGTCTGTTTCTCTAATGAAAGCCTAACCAGATTAAATAGACCAGAAAACTACTATAAACTGAACTCCCATTCATATGGCACAGTAGGACACACACCTTTACATTACTGGCTGATGAAGCGTATATGACAAGCCCTGTGTCCTTTCCCTGGTCTTTCTACCCTGACTATCTTGGTCTGTTGTGCATACACTCATCTGAAAGACTTCAGGACAGAGAAGTGACCAGTGAGATTCACTGGATCAATTCTGCCCTATTTCAGTGATTTATCAGAAAGGTTCAGGCTTCTGCTGTCCCCAAAGCATCCACAACCCACAGACCTGAACTATGGGCTCTCCACTGCTTCCTCCAAGTCAGTGCAGGAGCCAGAATGAAGCATGTTTCAGAGACCTTAACTAACATGCCTCAGATTGTTAATGCAAATATCAAGCTTAAACAAAGCTTGCCAGCAGCCCTCCTACCACTCAGATTACAAAATATCCAAGCACAACAATAAAGAGACAGCTTTAGAAGGAAGGCATAAACTTAAAAGCCAGTCTTTTCCCTTCTTGCTGTAACTTACAGACACCTCATGCTGCTTTATAACTGCGTTCCTCAAAAGCAGTGGCCTATGCCCAGCACACTGCTGACTTTCACCACCGCACACACAGGCCGGGTTGTGCACAGATAAGGTAGGTAGGGGCAAAAGCCTGCCACAGCACCCTCCATGGGCACACACACTTACTGCTTCTCCCTGCACTGGCTCAAAAGCTCAGCAGGAGAAAGGGCAACAAACACCATTGCTCCGTCAAAGGCCTGGGACAGAGGCTGAGGCACCGAGCTTTCTGCTCGCAGGAGAGCCCGGCACAGGCAGCCTTGCCTCGGCCCCCTCTGCTGCCATCGCACATCAAGATGGCGGCCAGTACCAACACCGGCACGGCACAGCACAGCCCGGTCGGAGAGGTGCCCCTGCGCCCCTACTGCCCCAGCCCTCCCCAACACCCGCTGCTCCCCAGGAGAACGCCGCTCCGGCG